GCAATTGTAAAAAACAATGTTAATGTCAACACAGTTAATCAGATTTTAAACTTTCTGTTATGTTTACTGATTTTAATACTTTCTGCTTATAACATTTTTGTTTATATTTCTTTATTTATTTTTATCTTACAGCATATTTTTATTATAAAGAGCCAGTTATCTATTTGTCCTATATATATTGTTTGTGTGTGTAAAGCCAAAGATGGATTCATTTATATACCAGAAACCATCAGACTTTATTTAGATTATAAATTCTTTTGTATTGGCAAGCGTCATTTGACTCTTCTAAGAGGGTTTTTACTAAACTGCAAGTATATCCAAATACTACATTCTTTTGTTTTAAGATTTTTATCCACCAAATATTTATCATTGGGCTTTTGGAATGCCGGTTCTCTGGGTACACGACACGAGGAATTCACCGTGGCTCTGGAACGACGGACGGTAGATGTTATGGCTGTTAACGAAACCTGGTTAAGGACGGGTGAAGAAGCTCGCGCGCCGGCCCCTTCTGGGTACAGACTTCGCCATATACCGCGCCCTGCTGCTGTACGCTCGCGTGGAGGAGGAGTTGGCTTTTATATTCGTCGTGGGTTGTGCGCGCGTCTCGTTGAACACCCACATACCCCGTCCGTGGAACAAATGTGGCTTAGTTTCAGACTAAATGGTATGAGAGTAGCAATAGGTACAGCTTACCGCCCGCCTTGGCTCAATATTGATACTTTTATAAACGCTCTGACTGATTCTGTGAGTACGCTATCGACATACGACCACGTAATATTGTTAGGAGATTTTAATATAAATATATTGAAGAACAACGACCCTAACGTATTCAAACTTCAGCAATTTTTACTTTGTATGAATCTCCAGCAATACGTTACACAGCCCACAAACTTCACCGAACACTCCGAAACGTTAATAGACTTAATCTGTAGCGGTAGTAAAATAAGTAAAGTCTGTGTAGAATATGTGCCGGACCTAGGGAGTCACGCTTTTTTATCGTGTGAGTTACATGTTAAAAAACCTAAGCCTCCGCCCAGATGGAAAACGTACAGACCTATTAGAAATATTGAATTAAATAACTTCAATAAAGACATAGAAGCAGTGGATTGGGATTCACTTGCTTCTGATGATATTAACGCTACTGTGGCAGCATTTAATGATTCCGTTTTGAAAACTTTTGATACACACGCACCGGCAAAAACCGTTTACATTAAAAAACAAAGCTATCCCTGGATTACAGACACAGTGAAGCTAATGATGAAACTTAGGGATGCCGCTCATGCCACATACTATAAAACAAAACTAGAGTCTGATAAAACCTATTATAAGGACTTAAAATCTATTGTAAATGTTGCTTTACATAATGAAAAATCAGCTTTCTTTGAATATAAATTAAATAAAAATTTTGGTAATTCCCGTACACTTTGGAAACATGTAAAGCGTAATATAGTTGATTTCAACAAAAAACATAAACAGCTCCCTGCTACCATGTGTGACCCCAATCTAGTAAATAGCCATTTTCTGTCCTTGCCCGGTAACGATAGTGTTCCCATGTCTGAATTGACGTTTTATGAATCCCACCGCTTCAGCCCTGCAGTGTTCACTTTAAAACCAGTTGACGAATCTTCTATATTTAAAATTATTAGTAAAACTTCAACCAATGCCCAAGGTATTGATGGTGTAAATCATGAGATGATTTTTCTTACTCTGCCGCATACTATTGGACTTATAACTACCATTGTCAACCAATCTATGCGCACCGGTATTTTTCCCGACATATGGAAAAAAGCCATAGTTAAACCGATACCAAAAGTTAATGATCCAGCTGAACTTAAAGATCTCCGTCCCGTTAGCATCTTACCTTACATGTCGAAAATCATTGAAAAAGTTGTAGCTAAACAAATGATAGAGTTCCTCGAAGCGAATAATATACTTCCTGAGAAACAGTCTGGCTTTAGAGCTGGCCGTAGTACGGCAACAGCGCTGTTGGACGTTGTCGACGACATTTTGGCAGGACAAGATGTAGGCAAGGGTACAATCCTCGTTCTCCTTGATTTTTCCCGTGCTTTCGACACAATTAACACAAACCTCCTCGTCTCGAAACTGGCATATTACGGCTTCGACAGTACTGCTTTGAAGTGGTTTGCTAGTTACCTGGATGGTCGTTCACAGAGAGTTGAAGTCAGCTTCGACGATGGTTCGAGAGGTGTATCGAATTCTTCTCCTGTTAACAGGGGAATTCCACAAGGGTCGATCTTAGGGCCGATCCTCTTTATCCTGTACAGTGCAGATGTCTGTAACTCGATAGAAAATTGTAGATACCATTTATATGCCGATGATCTCCAGCTGTATATTACTTTCAAGCCATATGACACTGCTACGGCTGTTAATAAACTCAACACAGACTTGGAACGAATTCGAAACTGGGCTGTCCGTAATTGTTTAGTTTTAAACCCAGACAAATCGAAATTCATGGTGCTGGGCACGAAAAGTCAAAAACAACAAATCAATAATAACGATCTAAAAATTAAACTAGGGGGCAATGTAGTTCAGAAGGTAACAGAAGCGCGTAACTTGGGGGTTATAATGGATAGTGATTTAAGGTTTGAGAAACATGTCACGGATATTGTGAGTAATTGCTTTTATAGATTGAGGGTTTTATATCGTGTTCGTCAATATCTTAGCGTAGATGTGCGAATCCATCTGTGTGAGGCTCTGATTCTGTCAAAACTTAATTACGCCGACACTGTAATTGGTGACCGCTTGTTGGCTAGGACTAAGACCCTTATACAACGAGTCCAGAATGCGTGTGCCCGCTACTGTTTTGTGATCCCTCCTCGATGCCATATCACGCCCTATCTCAATCGTAGTAACCTAATGAACATGAAATCTCGTCGTGCACTTCATTTTGGTTGCCTTCTTTTCGGAATAATAAAAACACAAAATCCCTCATATCTTTCTGACAAACTTAAGTTTTCACAACGCCACATAAGAACGGCTTCTCGTTTAGTTTGCCCTAGACACAACACTTCTGCATTTCGTGGCAGTTTCCGTTATGCTGCCACGAAATGCTGGAACAATATACCCCCTCCAATCAGAAACTCTAATAATGTTTATTCTTTTAAAAAAAACTATAGATTTTATTTAACAGAATTACAAAAAAACACATAAGAAATATTAGATGTATAGTGTATAAGTGGAATTTGGTATGTATATGTGGCCTAATTCGGTTATACTTTTTGCAATCAGTTCCAACTTTATAGTTGGGAAATAAGTAGTTTTTTCTTTTCTTTTTATATATGTATAATTAAGTTTGTTTGATAGTTGAATGGTGTTTGCATACATAACATAATATTATCAATTAATTATAAATAAATTATAAATAAATTAACAATAGGTATAGATATAGTTAAGCATCACACATTTTGTCGCATCATAAATTCTTTGTACGCATATTGCGAATTTAAATAAGTCAATGTTTTTTGTAGTATTAGTTTAGTGCGCCTGTGACGCACTCCCTGGGTTCCGCATAATACCAGCGACGTGGCTGTTCTCAGCCACGGCACATGCTGAGCGGTGCCCATTCAGTATCAGTAATTTTAGTTTTTAAATTATTTTTATGTACATACAATTTAAAGGTACTGAATAAATGTTTCTTTCTTTCTTTCTTTCTTTCAAAACAGTACGCTAGTGATGTATTACCCGAAATATTACCCGCGTGATACATTACCTGAAACAGTACGCGTGATGCGTAATGTAATGAGTGATGGTGATATTACGGAGTGATGTTTATAGTGTAATGTGAGTGATGTTGTAGTGGTAACATCACGGAGTGATGTTTGTTTAAGAGACATCTCATGTGATAGTAATATTACGCGAAATGCAATGTAAATGCATCTAATTTGGAATATAGCAGTATAACGATGTTTGTATTATTACCCCAATTATTTAATAACTTACTAAATGGTGTAAAAGGATTAAACCGTAAACAATTTAAAACGAAATTGCATAATTTGTTAATCATTGCTTGATTAAATACAATATTTTGATTTTTTACGTGGTAATGTATAATGTAAAATTTAACCAGGGTGAGTGTAGGTTGCCAGACGGTTCTTAATGTTTCATAATTTTTGTTTGATTCTCTCGAGTAATATGTAAGTAGATATTGTTTATAATGTAAGTTTAAGTTCTAGAAATGTCTTTTATAGGTTGTTTCAAAACGCATCGCGTTTTTAACGGACTTCAAAAAAAGGAGGAGGTTCTCAATTCGTCGGTATGTTTTTTTTTGTTGTGTTAGACTGTGTGATGTTGTGTGTAATAGTGATATCACAGTGTAATATCACTTTTACGGAAATGTAATGTGATATCACATTACTTTTCGAGGTACTGTTTAGCGCACGACTATTTGCTATGAACATCGACCACTTGTCAAATTCAAAGTGACGTTTGTCGTCGAAACCGTAGACTATATTTTGATTTTTAACGAATTATCGAATAGAATAAGCGATCGTCAGGATCTAGTAATCTTGGCTACCAACCTACTATCGTTTTCGTTTAATCGTTAACGATTGTAGAAATGGAATAGATTGCGAGCGATTGCCACTTGTCTAGCCCTTCTGCCACTCCATCGCTGTCGGTAGTTGACATAGTTGTAATAGCCGATTCGAACGTGTCCAGTGGAATTTGGCCCATTGGCCATATTATTAAAACGTTCCCTGCGCAGGATGGTAAAAAAAAATAGAATAAAAAAGATGGCATCGTAAAAGTAGTAGAAGTCGCCACTGAGGCTGGTTCCCCTGGTGGCGAACGACCTGCCAGTTGCACCTAATTAACCGTGCTCTGCACCAGAGCCCGTGATGTTGGCAACTGGCTGGTGCAGTGACTCGCTGACAGCGACGAATAATTTAAACCTTTGTCAGTCGTTGTCAGCGGGCCGCCAGAGTTTTACATTATTTTACCAAATTGTGAATTATATTTCATTAATACTATTTAGCACTCTCCTCGTGTTATAATTGTCTGCTGGTTCGTTAACAACAAAGTGTGTAATAAAAGTTATAATACCTCTTACAAAAATAATGTTTCATTAAATATACGAAATGCTATGAAAACGTACATTACAATAAGCATATAATTAGTCGAAATAATGTATTGCATTGGTTGGCACAACCCGCAGCGCTTCATGTGAGTGCCATTTGGAGCAGGGAAACTTCAATCTGGTTAATGAGCCCATAACACCTTTGAAAACTACGACGGAACATCAGATGAGCACAAACGTGGCCTGCTGGCGCTGACATACGAACGGCTGCGCCTTCTCACACCACCAGTCGCGAAGGCCAGGGTTAATGCCGTCCATTCCGGCGCAGCGAGGATCATTGGCGTGGCTGGAAAATTGCCTTACTCAATATTTATACAGAACTTCAACATTTGCGATAAGATTTAAAAAAAAAAGTAAATTTGGTTTATAGTTTTTAGCATAATACCTATTAGGTACAGTATCGGAAACGTACCTCGTTGAAATTCCGTTACCATCACTCCATTTGTTGTAGAAGTTTTGAAGAGGTTCTCCTGCAAAGAGAGTGGTAATAGCATTTTACGTGAGTTCACAGCGTGTACCGAAGGGTGTGTAATGGAAGATATAACAACAAATAATCTATTTTCACTTGTTATAATAACATTTGATATAATTTCTAAGGATATAATCACTCACTGTATATAATCAACAAAAGGTATAACAACAAAAGGCATAATTTCAATGTGTATAATGAACCTTCAGTATAACAAATATTAGATATAATGATTAAGTGACATCATGAACAAATGGTATAAGTACTACCAGTATAATGTATTAAATAATATAACACAATATTTCGTTTTACGAATATTTGAAGCGCCCTATACTATATTGATAAGAATTTTTTGATTCCATTAAATGTACAATCGCAAAATATAATTGTTTTTGTATAGCTTTAAGCGCTTTTAGTATTACAAAATATATTTATTAAAACTTTAAGCATAATATTTAATTACATAATACTAACCTAACCTAAACCCACAGGAGGAGGCCGAACCAACTAGCAAATGCAAAAAAAATTCAATTCTGGCAGCTTTGTCATATACTAACCTAACCTAAACCCACAGGAGGAGATCGAATCAGCTAGCAAATGCAAACAAATTGGATTCTGGCAGCTTTGTCATACATATACTAACCTAACCTAAACCCACAGGAGGAGGTCGAACCAACTAGGAAATGCAAACAAATTCGGTTCATTCACCGTTGCACCTAAACACTGGAATTATATTAATTTTTTTTTCACATATACACATTCAACATTATACTCAGTGAACGTTATATCTGAAGTGTTTATATAAAATGAACATTATGCCATCGGTATATTAGATTGAAAGTTGTTATATCAATCGTCTATTATACCCAGTGACTTTTATATCATGCAAGAATATGTCAAATGTCTGTATACCATAAATTAATTATATCTGTTGAGCGTTTTTATCGACTAAAAATATGTCATTTGTTGTTATATATTACGAATCGCACCCGTGTACCGAAAGGCATTTAGTCAATATTTTCTCTCACCATCAACGGTTATCCAAGTTGCACAATCGTGTCTGTTCTCGATGCCCAACCAAACTAGGAATTTGTAATCAGCGTGCACGATATCGTTAAACATCATCGAGCGCACGAGCGATTGGATGAACTTGAATTCAGCCTTAAAATAAAATAGGAAAGGAAAAAAGAATGACGGATGGTTGCATTGAAGCAGAGGCCCGACCAGTCGGGAGGGGACTGACTCACTCATACTTTTCAACTAATTATTTAAAAATAAAGTTAATAATTTATATTTCATGTTTTTTTAAAACATATAAGTGCGCGTTTGACCTCCGTTTCACCTGCTGGTACGTGACGATGAGGTTGATGGTGGAGCATGCTCAAGATGTTTTTTATTTTATTAGCCTATTATGTCCCACTACTGGGCAAAGGTCTCCCCCAAAATCCTCCATTGCTCACCTCATCATCATCACCTCAGCCGGAAGGCGTCCACTGCTCACCTAAATAATAATAATTTTTACGACTTCAATTTGTAACTTTAAATGAAAAACCACCGCGAGCCTTGGGCATATTAACTAAACTAGCTGGTAACTCACTATTTAAAGTGAATTTCTGTGGCGGGAATTACATAGGCGAGACTGGCCGCAACATTTAACAAGATTGGCGGAACACATACGTAGGTAGTATGAATAATTATAACTTTTTTATAAAAAAAAAAAACCGACCGCCGAGTTCGAGGAATTACTTCTATTTTGGCCAAGTTTTATTGAAATCGGTTACCCGACAGTGCGCGAAACCCGATTCCTGCCATAGTTTGCCACCACACAGGTTGAGCTGGAATATTTTCTTCAAATTTAAATGGGACCAATACTCAGGTACACTATTTCCAACAAAAAAAAAGAATCATCAAAATCAGTTAACAAAATTAATCACGTAACATACATACAAAAAAATACAGTCGAATTGAGAACCTCCTCCTTTTTGGAAGTCGATTAAAAACCGAAACAGCCTGGACACTCATTGGATCCGGATTCGACGCACTATATCCGTTTTGGTACAGCGCAGCAGTGTCCGTACTGGCGAGGGAAATTCATTTCATTCCGCGTAAAGTAAATGACTAAAACTGGCGAGATTGGTCGTGATTCGAATTTTAATCGTGACAGTGGATGGACGGTACTGGCTGAAAAACATTGTTAAATAGGTACTACTTACGGCAGTGGCAGTGTGGATGAGACTTTAAAAACGTGACGTGATTAGTACTGTGCTAGCCAGCATATAGTTAACTATAATAAGAAAGAAGCAAACGAGGGTATGTGCTCGCCGCCTCCGCCGCGCCCGCAGCCGTCCTGAATGATCTGGCTGTCAATTGTACCGCGGAAGTTCACGATTACGGACCAGGATCTGGTTCGAAGCATGTCGAGCAAAAGTTCGACTCAAATACGTCGTGAGTTAACAGGTTCTAACATTTAATTTCATTTACTAGCAGTACAGCTCCTTGTGAAAGAGTTCCAGGGTAGTACTGGCACCTTACCTACTCTGCCACCAAGCAGTAATGTCAGCATTACTGTGTTCCGGTTTTGAAGGGTAAGGGTGCTGGTGAAATTACAGGCACATGGGACTTGTCAACTTGTCTGAGGGTGACGGGTGGGCTCAGATCTTTGCAATTTAAAGCTCTGAAGGCACTGTAACTGTTATGGGCAGGCGTGTAGGCGACCAGGCGCGCGAAGTTGTTCGTCCCGTCACTTGATATTGTTGAATACTGGCTAGATTGTATTTCGTATTATAATTCTGTAATCAAAATTTGTGTTCTTAATTATTATTCAAAAACGTTGCGGCGTTTGATGCTTTAGTAGACTGGGTGAGCCGAGTTAAATAGAGAAATAACGACAAAAGAGAGGGACAGGTCCGCCATTACCTCTGTTTTGGGCACAGCTAATGACGCGTTGTCTTGCATGCAGCTCGCTTTCGCCGCGTCCCAACTTTGTGCCACATGCTCTATTCGGTACTCGAATCCATTCTCAAAACCATTGTATACTGAAAATCAATAGAAAATACCAAAGAACTGATCAAAAATTTTAATAATTGAAAAAAAAAAGGTAGAAATAGCCACACATAATTTAACTGCCTCCGGGGCCGGACAGCTGCCTTGCTGGTCTGCCCCGCAGAGACCCTGGGTTCGATTCCCGAGCCGAGAGAAACATTTGTATAATCTACATTTATTTCTCTCGTGAGTTTGGGTGTAATTTGTGATACCCACGGCACCCGTGATACAGGGTTTCCCTAGTGCGGAACTATGAGTGTACTTTAAAAAAATTACAAAAATGTTTGGTTTCAATTGTTTTATCTTATGACTAAATATAAAATTAGAATCCTCACCTGCAGAATCTAAACCGAAACATGTTGCTACTACTAACGCAAATGGTGCCGCTAATCTGAAAATGAAACATATTTATGGCGTTAAGGTACTGCACGAGCACGGGGTAGCCGAAAACGAGTACATAGTTAGGTACTTTAGGAATTATCGTAAACAAAGATTCAGCACTACCAATATCTTCTCTTAAGCTTACCTACTGCGTTCAATTACGAATAAATATTACATTACTGTAAAGGAACACACGACCTTTACATTTTAAGAAAATAAATAGCTTTTACCTCATTTTGCGAAATACGGAAGCAGTCCTGAAGGAAACACTCAACAACACTTGGCCGCCGCGCTCGATCAACTAGCTTGTGTGCCGATGCGTGTGTGAGCGTCGAGTGGAAAGGGACCGATGTCTACAGACGTACGACCACAGATGTTACAGTTTCATTCAACTATGTTTTTACTTTCTAATGTCACTTCGATCGCTACACTTTACGATTTTGGGATTATTGTGTTTTTTTACGGTTTAGTTTGCAGAGGACTGTTAGCAATAACATAATTCTAAACGAGATTAATTAAAAATACATTATATACTTAATGATAAAAAAAAAGTAAGGATTTTCAATGGTCAAAAAACGGTGGTGTGTTCTCAATAGAGGCCGTTAACGCTTTATTATACCGTTAAGTCGATTTGTGTTCATGTTTCAAACATGCATAACACTCGCTTTAGTCTCAGTGCCTTTGTTTACTGTATGAACATGTGTACGACTACTAATGGCGCAAGCGAATGGACTTTCAGAAAGCGATTGAAACGTTTTACAGATCCGGGAGGCCCAACAGAGGACACCTCGCGTACTTACACACACCATAAACCAGAGAATATGGCAGATCTTTCTCGCGAGAGACTCCTGTCATAAATTACACGAATCCAAAATTTTAATTGTTTTAATACCGTAGGTCTCAATTTATTGAGACTCTATAGTGACTTAAGATTAGTCAATAATCGATTATAGTTATATAAATGAATAAACAAGATTTTAGGACATCAAAAAAAACTTTCATAGGAAATGAAACTATTTTTCCGGATTTACTTTCATTTCAAAACTTAAATTACGGATTATTAGCAAACCACGTGAGTGAGTTTTCGACTTAGTTGCCTCGTTGGATAAATGCATAATTCGTCTGTAGAGTAACATAATGAAACAATGATTTTTAATTTGTTTTGCATTTTATTAATGAGTTTTTGATAAACGTGAATTTGCTTTAAAACTTTGATTTAAAACTTCGCTGTTCTCCCAATTACACTAATGTTCCGATAAAAATCATTGTAACAATAATTACGCTCCTTACAATTAGTTAGGCCCAAAATTAGTTCTAATTCTCCAAGCTATGAGAAGGAGATATGTCGGTTACAAATGTGCTGTTTTGTTTTAAATCATCTTGTTGCATTTTTTAAGAAAATCTTATATAACAGAACGATCATGGCCTGACAGTACATGGGGTGTGCGATTGCAGTTAACTGGCAACCTTATTAAGTACGTTATAAAGATTACAAAGCAAATAAAATATTAATTGCGGTAGGTACGTTGATCGAATTCTCAGTGCAAATTACTTACATTCCATACGTTCCATACGAGACCTAAATCTCTCTCAAAAGAGCTATAGTCCCAATTTGTTTAGTACTTCTTTTAAGTTGTTCATATATTAACGTCAGATTTATGAACAAGTGAAATCTCACTTGTTTATAGGTCGCATGAATAGGAGACGGGAATATTGATCAAAATAGTAGACCATGAGGCGCCAAAGACTCACAAAGTATAAGCATAGCGGTTAGAGGATGTAGACAAGGCAGTGAATTTAATATTTACCTACATTTTCAGGATGTAGGTAGTCATTTTAGTACGTAACAGAAGTACATGTACACAATGAGCCTTCAAAGATTATTCCCTTATAAGTTAATACTCTTCATGTAGTTCGTCGTTTAATAAATACGAAAAAATATCTATTTAAATGTTATATTGGACAGGTCGCAGAACAAAATAAATACTACAAACAAAAAAATACCATTACTTAGATAAGTATTACAATTATAACTTATTTTATAAAAAAACCGACCTCAAAAGTTTGTGGAATTATATATGTTTGCCAAGTTTTATTGAAATCGGCTAATGAAACGTGAGTGAAATCCAATAAACCGAATTCATCCCCTAATTTGCCACCCTTACTAGTGGAATATTTTCCAAATATGAATGGGAGTAGGTACTGAGGTACCCGCTTTCCTACAAAAAAAGAATCATCGAAATCGACTCATAAATGACGGAATAAACACGTAACATATCGTACACACAAAAAATACAGTCGACTTCAGAACCTTCTCCTTTTTTGTGTCGTTTAATAAACAAGTATAACTTTTTATAAAATAAAACGACCTCAAAAGTCCGTGGAACTACATCTATTTGCCAAGTTTTATTGAAATCGATTATCAGAAAGTGCGCGATTAATCCCCGGATTAATCCCCTAGTTATCTAACACGTAGTCTTCAATTTTGTAATATGATTTTTCGATCA